AGAGGCAGAGCTCAGCCCTCAGGGACAGAGTCAGGGTCCTCAGCCAGCCAGGTCCTTGACCTGTTCGTGTAGTCCAGTGCACCCCCCGCTGTCACAGAGACCCCCGTTGGGAGGCAGAATCAGACTGAGAGTGACTTCGATGACTGTGATCAGGACTGCGGTGTAGAGAATAGAGAGGAAATGGTCACATTTGAGAGAGCTGTGAAGACAAGATTTCACAGTTTTGAAACAAGCAACGGGTTGTTCCTTAGAGTAATAATGTGTTTGTGTTTAGCACGGACGTTTCAGCTCCCATTGGTGAGAAATGATTGCTGTGTCCTTGCTTTGGGGACAAGTTTTTCAGGAAACGCTGGAGCCGGACAGTCTGATTTCTTGGGAAGCTTCAGTGGCCTCCCCACTGACCTCTCGCGAGGGCTGAGTGTGAACATGCAGACTCCTCTTGGGTGTTGACACCTGAGGAGTGAAGCCTAGAATCCTGTGTAGTTTTGTCCATGGGTGTTTGAAAAGCTTCTGCTACCAGCAGAGTAAGCCAGTTGTTGGGCTAGAGAGCAACCACATTCAGATATTTTTAAAGGGCCAGTGAAGCTTGGGAGAGACTCTCAACCCAAAGTACAAATTTCCAGTTTAATTTTAACTTTGCACTTAGCTCACACCCAGGATTTGGCAGGGGGAAGTGGACCTTAATTTTTTTTTTTTTTTTTTTTTTCTTTTTTAAGGCGAACACACCCTGGATGTAACAGGGATATGTTCTCTGCCTGGAAGGGCTTGGAGTGGCGGCCACCGCACAGAGACGGGAGGAAGTGGGTTGGAATTGGATCAGGAGCTCAGAGTGGATTTGAGGAGTGCTGGGCTGGTTGGAGGTTTACAAACGTGGGAGTCTGTCCTGGAGCTCTAGGAAAGGGCCACCCTCTGTGGACCCAGGGGGACCCGGGGGACGTGCGTGGAATGACTCCAGATCACCTCTTGGGCCGGTGTTTTTGTTTTTTCCTGTTTGGTCACTTTCAGGCACTTCACAGGTGGCTTACCTGCCATCCCCAAAGTGACAGTCACTCCCCAAAGCAGCAGTGGGTTTCCCCCTCGTGGTTTTTGGGCTTTTTGGTGATATCAGCAGCCGCAGTGTCTGAACCTTGCCCTTCTCTCACATCTTTGATCTCACCCCAAACATTGCCGAAACTCTTGCCAGGAAGGAAATGCAGAAACCAGTGGTGGTCCCAGAGGCCCCGCAGACCTGACCTATAACTGGCCACTGCTGGCACTCCAGAGGGCATAGACTTGCCCAAGCAGCTGGAAGCAGCCTCTTCCCGCTTGGCAAGAGCAGGGTGCCAGGTCCCCCAGCCCCTCTCCACATCCTTGCTCCCTAATCGCAGTGTCATCTGAAGGAGGGCTGGCTTGGATTTTGTTTTGGTTACGGAGGAAGTGTAACCAGGGCGGGGACTGCCAGGAGCGGTCCCCACCCTGCTGGTGGACCTGTTGGAAGGGGCTTCAGGAGAGCTTATAGGGTTGAGTTGGGGGAGTCTGGGAGAGCGCGCCTCATATTTGGGAACATCTGAGGACCAGTCGGGAGCCAACACTGACCACCTTGGTTCACTGCATGGGGTCTTATGTCCATTCCAGGGGCCATTAGGATAGGTGGTTCTGATGTGGCTGTGGAATGGGAAAATCCCATTCCCACCAGTGAACCAGCTGGTGCCAGCAAAGCACTTCAAGGGGGCCTGTGCAGGCTCTGGAAAGATCCGATGGTTCCTATTAATAAAAACATTAGTGGTAGCCGCTTGCATATCATCCCCCGGGAGGAATGGCCCCCATTTGGCGGTCGTGTGGGGTGCCAGGACTGGGACCCCGTGCCTGTCCGTAGAATTCCCAGGCAGCGCCGTGCCTCTCTGGAAAAGAGGCTGACTTCCGGGAGGAATTCCCCTGACTCCCAGCCCCACCACCCCCATCTCTAAGGCTTTCTTTTCCTTGGCAAATGGTCGTTAAGAGGAGAAGCCCTTGACCCGTCTGGAAAAACCACATGTCTGAAATCTTTGAGGGTGGACTGGAATCCCTGCTCGTATTTGCCTTTCTCTGGTGGAGCTCCAAGAATCTGCAGCGCCTTCCGAAGACCGCAGGCCTTGTGGCTCCAGAGTTTGGTGCAGATGAAGGAGGTGGGCCTACCCCCTTTCCCGGCGCTGTGAACCTCCCTCCGTTTGCCCTGCTCCCCTAAGGCCTGGCTTCTTGGCTCTACACTGATTTCCTGCCCTAGGGCAGAAGGCCTCTCAGGATTTATTCCCAGGCACTCTTGCCAGTGACCTTGAGAAGGTGGCTTGACCTGGACATCTGGCCTCTCCTGGGGACTGAGGGAGTGGAAAAGGATTTAACTTCTCCCATCCCAGATCCGAGGGGAAAGGCAGGACTTGGCGGCCATTGCCTAGGCCCAGAACGGGTCAGCTCTGGGAAGGAGCTCCTGTGCCTGGCTTTGCCCTTCCTGGCAGATTGCCACTGTCGCTGGGCTAGGCACACCACCTCTGTCTGCCAGGGAAGAAGAAAGCAGGGTAACTGTGGCGGCTCTGCAGTCCAGATGTGCCCCGAGCGCCCCTGGTCTGCCTGCTGACAAGGGTGGGCTGAGAAGGGGCCCAGCAGGCCCACTGTCGATTCTGTCCCCCCAGGTTTCTGCTTGGCCTCGAGACGCCTGAGCAGGAGGGAGGATTGGAGGACTGTGGCAAGCCGGTCATCCTGGGCCCGGCAGGAAGGTCTAAGCAAATTGGCCTGCTCAGGGGGCCGGAGGAGCTCTGGACAGGGGCTGGTTAGAACAGAAGGCCATCTGCTTGTCCAGGAGAAGAAAAGGCTCTGAGGGGCTGGCATGACCCTTCGGACAGTGTGGGACTGCCATTTGGAAGAACTAGATCGTACTGTCTGAACCATCCGTGACCAATCAGAACCTGTAGGGGGAAGTCCTAGGGGGGCAGCAGATCCCGAGATGGTGATGTGTGTTTCCTTGAGGCTGTGGGGAGCAGACAGGTGGGGATGTTGTGTCCAGCACCAGATGCGGCCAGGAAGAGTTACCTTTAAGGTGCCTGCCAGCCCTGGGTGGCCAAGGAGCAGCCAGACTGCTGGGGCAGGAGTGGGTCACCGGGGCATCCTCCTGGAGGGCTGGGCACCCTGGCTTCCCTTGCTGACTCCCCAGAGACGTTGAGGCCTGGGACTTGATGTGTTCCTCAGCTTGTCTCCCCACCATCTGTACTGGAGCCTGGAATCTTCCCTTCAGCAAAATCTACCTTTTAACCACCTAATGAGAAGTTGCTTTTCATGAGTCTTTTTTTTTTTTTTTTTTATAAACAAGTACTAAGGTTTTGGTGGGGGGGGGGTGTTTTGAAAGTTCATTTATTTATTTTGAGAGAGAGAGAGCGGGGAAGGGGCAGAGAGAGAGGAAGAGAGAGAGAATCCCAAGCAGGCTCCACACTGACAGCAGAGAGCCTGAGGTGGGGCTCAAACTCACAAACCATGAGATCATGACCTGAGCCAAACTCGTCTTTCTACATCCTCAGAAATAAAGGATTTGGACCCAGATTGGAGTAAGAAGAGAAAAGAAGAGACTCTAAGAACTCCAGCGGCAAAATTGCCTCCAGGGAGTTTTAAAGAAGGGCCAGACAGGGTCACAGAGGTGCTTCCAAAGACTGACTTTTTGTACTTCGACGACCTCAGCATGCATTAAGGGGCCGTCCTAGGGTTGCGGATTTCCATTCTTTTCCTTTCACATCTGTGCTCAGGACCCGAAGAGCAGGGTCTAGAGATGCACTATCCCGTACGGTAATTCTAAGTATCTTTTTACATTTAAATTAAGGAAAATGAAAGTGAAAACTCAGTTCCTCAGTCTCACCAGCCGGGTCACAGGTGCTCAGTGGCCACCCTCGGCTAGCGCCTCCTCTCTTGGCCAGAGCAGGAGGCATCCATCGTTGCAGGAGGTTCTGTTGCACGGGGCTGGTCTAGAGAACGGAGAGTGGGGGGCTCCCTAGTCTGCGGCCCCTACCAGGGGCCAGGCCAAGCAGGTGACTGTGGTGACGAGTGGGCAGGCTCTGGCCGGTGAGCTGGTGAGGGTGGCGTACGTGTGTGTCTTGGGCCCCGTCCGCACGCCGAGGGTCACAGGCACACGGAGGCCGAAGGAGGGGAAGTAGCTGGCCGTGGGAGGTGGTCAGGCTGAGGCCACAGGGCCTGGGAGGAGGGCGGTGGGGATCTGACGGTGTGGCTGGCGCCGGTGGGAAGCTGGGGGCTGTGGCGGCTTATTTTTAAGGGGAGTTTTGGAGAAGTGTGGCCGTGGCGTTGGAACGAGACCACCATGCCCGGAGCGTGTGCCCACCCCCTCCATCCTTCCCCTCAGGACCGCAGACGGCAGGAGGACCTGGGTGGGTGCTGGCCGCACGATGCCCCTGAAGAGACAGAGGAGGTGCAGCCTGCAGTGTAGGACGGACTGACTGCTCTTTGGGTCTGACCGCCCGCTGGCCTTCCCTTTGCAGGTGAAAGAGCTCGTCCTGGACAACTGCCGGTCAATCGAAGGCAAAATCGAGGGCCTCACAGATGAATTTGAAGAACTGGAGTTCTTAAGTACAATCAACGTAGGCCTCACCTCAGTCGCAAACTTACCAAAGTTAAACAAACTTAAGAAGGTAAATAGAGTCTAGGAGTGTGCGCGGGGAGGAGGGGAGAGGGTCGCTCGTTGCTTGGTGTTGAGGGGGCGCGAGCGAAGGTGAGGCGGCCGCGTGCACCAACACGCCCGTGGTCGAGGCCCTCAGACGACTTTGAGGGCTGGGCACCCTGGGCCCTCCGCCTTCGTGTTAAGAGCTCTTTCTGCTTTTTCCCCTCCCTGCCCTGTTTAGCTTGAACTAAGCGATAACAGAATCTCAGGGGGCCTGGAAGTATTGGCAGAAAAGTGTCCGAACCTCACGCATCTAAATTTAAGTGGCAACAAAATTAAAGACCTCAGCACAATAGAGCCACTGGTGAGTCTTTCGGGTCCTTCCCTCTCCTCGGGGCGGGAGGGGGGAGGAGGTGATATCAGGGAATACTACTTTTGCGTTTGTAGAATGTTTGGGGTTTGTTTCTTCTTTTCTTTTCTTTTCTTTTCTTTTCTTTTCTTTTCTTTTCTTTTCTTTTTCTTTTTCTTTTCTCTTCGTTTCATTTCGTTTCTTTTTCTCACTTCTCTTACTTTATTTGACTCTCGTGTGCTATGAGATCAACTTGGAGCTACTATTTCTGCCTTGTCCGCAGAGAAGCTGAAGCCTAGCGAAGTTAAATGGCTTGAGCAAGTTCACACTGCCAGAGTGGGTAGTCAGGGGGCCGGGTGGGGTAGGACCCTGGCCTCAACTTCTGGTCCAGTGCTTTTCTTCTTACAGTTTCTGCTCAGCTTTGGGAACCTGAGCTTGGTTCATAGTCCCTCGTTGGGGAGGGAGGAGCCACCCAAGAATTAAGCTGCCCCTGGGAGTGGCCCACCTGTTTTCTCCTTGGATTGCTGGCCTGAGGCTGGTACCCCCAAATGGTGGGATGGCCCCCCGGATGGCACAGAATGGCATGGGGCAAGAGCCTCGATGCAGGCCTTGCTCTGAGGGGCAGAGAGCGACTGAGCCATGGTCTCTAGTCCTTGGTGTGATAGTGACCAGGGCCTCAGAGATGTGGGCCGTGTTTCTGGCTCCTGTTCATTTCCATAGAGCTGAACACACCCCAGACTTCATGGGTTTACTCACCAGAAAGGGACAAGGCATGGTCACAATAACAATTTCTCCATTACCTGGATCTGAGCGAGTGTGTTCCCTTGAATAATAGCTTTCTTGACATACGGAAATACTACCACGTTAAATAAGCATTCTTACTGCAAACATACACGTAAGAACCCTCTCACAAGCCATCCACCTTAGGGTCAGGGAAAGGTCATGAGGGTATTTTGCCAAGTTTGCCACACTTCCTAGGTTTACAGAGTAGAAGTTGGGGCATCCCTCAGTTCGGGCTTGTAGGGTTCTTGTCCAAAAGGCACTCCCTGCCCTCTGTGGACGCTCGAGGGGCAGGTTGATGGGCCAGAGCAGCAGAACCAGAAGCCGGCACATCTTTCCCAAGCTCCGACTTCGCCCGTTGTGGCGTGGAGTCAACTACGAGTATATGCGTCCCACAGAACTTCTGTTTAGGTCTTCCACCAACCTCCTCGGGCAAAGCGAAACTATTTGGATCTACCTGGAAGCCTTGATTTCGTGATTTCCTAGGAAGATCTTTGAAGTTCTGTATATGTGTATTTTGGGAGGCAGGTGTAGAGACCAAGCGTACGTGTATATAAGACATTGTGACTCGGCTTACGATGAAAGGTCTGACCTAGACAGACAGACAGACACACCCTGTTCTCCCTGCACAGACCACACACGGTTTTGGAGCTTCTCCTTCCCTGGTTATCAATGTGATTGATGCCTTACGCTCACCTCCTCAGGCTGGGGGAGGGTGTTGGGCTCGCCCACCCAGACCACAGCCCAGACTCCTTCCCTGCCCTTGACCTGCTGAGAATGACTTCTCGCTCCTGAGATCTTGAGAGCAACTGAACATTAGTAATCACTTCTACCTCATCGGGGCCGTGAGGATAAACTGAGTTAATACCTAGTGTGCTATGTGAATGGCCGTCATCCACACCATCATTAGTAATAGACACATCAGGAGTCTCTTTGTTCGTGGCGCCTTTTTCGTTCCCCTCTGGCTCCTTCGTCACAGGGGCAGCCGCAAAGCTCTTGGCTGGAGCCCCAGGGAGCCCCGGGTTAATTTGAAGCCGGTCACTGACACGGCCTAAGCTGTATTTGCAGACTAAATGTGTTGGCCTTGGATGGAGCTTCAAAGGCCCTAAAGTCCGCCCTCCCATTTTCCGGGTGAAGGAACTGAGGCCCACCAACCAGGGTGACGGGGCTGGGCAGAGCAAAGCTGTTTCCTCCACCTGGCTCAGGCCCCCCTCCTACTTCCCCCCTGCCCTCCCGCCCTCCCACAGATCATTCACTGTCGACTTCATGTTTCTGCTTGCAGAAAAAGTTAGAAAACCTCAAGAGCTTAGACCTTTTCAATTGTGAGGTGACCAACCTGAACGACTACCGAGAAAACGTGTTCAAGCTCCTCCCACAGCTCACGTATCTCGACGGCTACGACCGGGATGACAAGGAGGCCCCCGACTCAGACGCCGAGGGCTATGTGGAGGGGCTGGACGACGATGAGGAGGACGAGGATGGTGGGTGTCGGGGGGTTGGGGTGGGGTGGGGAGAGTGGGGCTGCTTTGCTGCCACCATCCCTCATCTTTCTCACTGGGGCTCGAACCCCAGAGCGGCATCGTGACACTGCCTGATAGTGCGGTAACTCTTTAAGAAATCTAACTAAACCTTCCCTTCCGGTTTTTCCTCTTTTCCGAAGTCCCCACCCCCGGAATGAGATCCTACAGTGTCTCTCTGTAGTGTGACCGTGGACTCCCCAGCCCAGGGCTGGTGAGCGCACAGAGGAAGGTGGGGTGTGGCCTGAGGGTTCCCATTCACCTGGGTGTCCAGCAGTGGAGATGAGGTCATGAGCTGGAGAGGTTGTGGGGCCCCCTGGTGGCTGCAGCCCACAGGACCACAGGCGGGACCTGCAGGGTGTGGATGCTGGAGCCCCAGGGGCCCCCAGGGGCCCCGGAAGTACAAGAGGCTGCTTCGCGTGGCATGCTGGGCCCCCTGGTGGTACGGGGAGGGTGAGGTTGAGCCGTGAGCGGCAGGACCTGCAGGGAGGAAGGAAGGAAGAAAGGAAAGGAGCGTGTCCTGTCTCCTTCCCCCCTGTGCCAGCGTAGTGTAGTTTCCCAGCGGGTTCTTCGTGGCCACAGTAACAGAGAGAGTTGAGACATTTGGCCCATTAATTCAGACATAGGATTTTTGAGTTTCCTTGTTAGGTCAGATACTCAAGACACCCATTTGCCTTAGTTTATTCCATCTTGTGGTATGACAGGAAGGTCCCAGGACAGGACTCCTGAGGCCAGGTTTCTAGGCCCACCTCCGCGGCTAACTCTGACGTATGACCTTGAACAAGTCACATCCCCCCTCAGGGACTTGGATGTTCACCTTTAAAGCAAGGAATTTGGCTAGATGCTCTTGGCAAATGAATTGACTTCTCTGCCTTCCTAGACCCTGTAACTTGTTCCTCTGATCCAGCGAGTTCTCTGTGGGCTGAGCCTCCACCCAGGAACTTCTCGTTTTTGTACAACTTGGGAGGAGGGTTTAGCTTTTGGATGACCCTAGGGTGTGTTCAGTCACACTGGGGCTTCCAGGCTTTGGGCCTGAGTGGGCGTGGGAGGGTCCTGGGCCCCACGGGAGACTACCTGTATGGAACACCCATGCACAGCCCGGGCTCGTGCTGTGAGGGAGGCGGGCTCACCACCAGTTCCCTTGTCCCCATTTCTGCTGCACAGAGGAAGAGTATGATGAAGATGCTCAGGTAGTGGAAGACGAGGAGGATGAAGAGGAGGAGGAGGAAGGAGAAGAGGAGGACGTGAGTGGAGAAGAAGAGGTAAGAGGCTGAACTGGGCAGGGGCACCAGCTCCCAGAGTCCCCCTTACTTGCTGCCTATGACTCCGTCCAACTTAAAGGCCTCAGTGATCGGCCTTTGGCAGCCACGAAACCCTGGTTGGGGAAACAAGACCATTTCGGGGCCTTTTATGGGGCTGCTGCGGGGGAGTCCAGGCTTGCAGCCAGCCCCGGGAGAGGAAGAGGGAGAAGATTCCGGAGGCAGGTCAGGAGGGGAGCCATGTGCTGGTAGAATAAACCTAGCCCTGGTTTATATGCGAAAATTAGTTCTTAGGGAATCCACATCCTTATTTTCTGCCTTTTTGCATTCATACGTTAATTCAGATATTTACTGAGCACTTAAGAGTGTGTTAGAGAAAATCAAAGACTGCTTTGAACTCATGGGTGATAGGAGAAGACCCTGCTTGGTGCCATTCAGAGTGACAAGGGTCCCTAGCACACGTGGAAATAGTGCTGTGATCCTAATACATTGGCTTGCTCCCAGCGTCTTGACAAGGTTTGTGTGTGTCTGTGAGGGTTACTAATAGCACAGTCTGAGGAGGGCGGATCCCAGCTCTACCATTTGCCGGCTGTGTGTCCCTGGACAAGTTCCTTAACCTTTCTGAGCCTATTTCTTCATCTGTAAGATAGGTATTGTTTTCCATCTGAGTTGTAAAGAAGGATCAATTCAGTGAATTCTTAAGAGAATATAAAAATTTGTAGGTAATAGCACTTACTATTTTAGGCTTTTACACCCTTCTCCAAGGTCTTGTGCTAGGTTTTGTGTTTGGATGTTCGGAGTCTCTCTGTAATAGTCATTTTCCATGACTTGTTCAGAATTCTAAATCAGCTCTTCCTGATTACGAAAGTTAGACCCAGAAGGGCGCCTGGGTGGCTCAGTCAGATAAGCCTCTGACTTCGGCTCAGGTCATGATCTCACAGCTCATGGGTTCAAGCCCCGCATCGGGCTCTGTGCTGACAGCTTAGAACCTGGAGCCTGCTTTGGTTTCTGTGTCTCCCTCTCTCTCTGCCCTTCCCCTGCTTGCACTCTTGTCTCTCTCTCTCTCTCTCTCAAAAATAAATAAACATTAAAAAAACAAAAAAGTTAGACCTGGAGAGGCTGAAAGTGAGAACAACATGGACAGGGTACCTACCTTCTCCGATTTCCTGTCTCTATCCTGCCACAGACCCATTTGGACAGGATCTCCTGCCCACCCCAAACTTAGGAGAGGCACAAGGCAAGGCAAATAGAAAAAGATCGGCCTTGTTCCCGCCTAGTTCTGCTGCTGGGTTTCCCTTTTCCCTAAGTGTAGGCTGCAAGAATATTGCAAATATTTAAAAAATAAAGACTTAGAAAAACAGTCCCCCCCAGGACAGGGCAGTAAGTCATGTTGGCTAATGGATTTTTCATCTTGCGCTTCCTGTCACAGGAGTCCCAACGTGCAGGGTTTTGTTGTAGGTTTTTTTTTGTTTTTTGTTTTTTTGGGTTTTTTTTTGTAATCTCATTGACCATCTGCAAGAGTTCTAGCTTCCAGTGAAGTTGAACTTACACACAGACCAAAAAAGTCTTAGCAGACAGACTGAAAAACTATTTGGTGATCTTCTAAAAGGATATGTCTCTTGACAAAAAGAAGGTTCTCATCAAGATCTTTTTATTGTATTTATTTTTTTTAAGTTACTTATTTTGAGAGAGAGAAGAGCATGAGCAGGGGAGGGGCAGAGAGAGAGGGAGAGAGAATCCCAAACAGGCTCTGCACTGTTAGCTGAGACCCTGATGTCAGGCTTGAACTCACAAACGGAGAGATCATGACCCAAGCTGAAACCAAGAGTCAGACGCTTAACTGACTGCCCCACACCAGATTCTTCTTAAACTATGGGTTGGTTGCCTGATGCTTTAGGAACAGTGTTCAACATGTAGAGATTCAGCTAGCATAGGACTTCAGAAGCAGCGTAAAACAGGGATCCTGTGCTGAGAATGAATTCACACACCTTGCTGAATCTCAAGGAGCTGGGAATGATGTCCTCCAGGGGCCTGGGATTGATCGTCCCCTCCGAGTGATCCAAGTGTGCAAGGCGGTGGACAGGCTGGGTAGCGTGAGGTTGAACTTGCCCACAGAACCTGGATTTGCTAAAACCGGGGTCTTCCCTTGAAGCGAAAACTACTTTGAGGGCAAATAAAAGCACGGCTGGCTTGTGCATGACAGAGTCGGCTTGGGGAAGTTTCTCTCCCGAGAGCGCACAGATTGGAAAGCTGCTTGAGTTACAGGGACTCCAGGTCAGAATTCTGAACTGGGTTAGCATCTGCCATCCCCCCAACATTGTTTGCAGATACTGTGTGTGATGTGGGCGGTTTCTTCTGGAGAAGGGGTTCAGAGCTTTGTCATTTTCTCAAAGGGATCCTTGATGCAAGAGAACGTCTGCTTTGGATCCATCCTGAGGTGGCAGGTTCTTGTGAGGCTCTGAGAGGCCCCCACCTTCTCGATCTCACTGTCTGGGGAAGTGGCCTCTTCAGCGGGTCCCTGGGCCAGGGGCATCACTAATGTCTGCTGTCTGTATTCTCTTCCAGGAGGATGAAGAGGGTTATAACGATGGGGAAGTAGACGACGAGGAAGACGAAGAAGACGTTGGTGGTATGGCAGCCTTTTTACTCTCAGCTAGCCCGGCCCCCTCGGTCGGCAGCGGACCGCACAGGCCCTGGGGACCTGCCCGAGGGTAGAACACACCCATCCGAGGCCCCCGTGCCTCCCTGGCTTGCAGATCTGCCCCCTCAGATCTGCCAGGGATGGCCCAGCTTCCCAGACGTATGGTCCCCTGGTTTCCCAGCAGGTGGGTCGAGTGAGACGCAGGCTCAGTGTTTTAACCTAAACGCCTTTTCCTTCCTCTTCCAGAAGAAGAAAGGGGTCAGAAGCGAAAACGAGAACCTGAAGATGAGGGAGAAGACGATGACTAAGTGGAATAACCTATTTTGAAAAATTCCTATTGTGATTTGACTGTTTTTACCCATACCCCCCCCCCCGAAATCCCGCCCCCCGAAACTTATTTTTTTCTGATTGTAACGTTGCTGTGGGAACGAGAGGGGAAACGTGTACTGGGGGTTGTGGGGGGAGGGAGGGCGGGAGGGGGTGGAATAAAATACTATTTTTACTGCCACTCTTTATTTTTTTCCCCTACTTTTTCTTTGTGTCTGGTTTTGTCCCTGTAAATGCGATAGCTAAGGTACACACCAAGTGAGCATTTGTTTCTTACTCTCAAAGAGGATGGTTTGGAGGGCTCTTCTGTCTCCTGGTACTTCCGGAGTCTCTGGAGTCAGTTGGAAGGTCGTGGCTGGCCTCCGTTTGGTTTCTCGAAGCCCAGAAGGCGCTGAGCACCAGCCACGTCTTACCTCTTGTGCTTGTTCCCGTGATTTCTGCATTTCTTGGGCCTGCTAGAGGCATCCAACGCCCTGGTTTGTAAATAGCAACCTAAAGGCGTATTTTGGCACTGGTTGGGGGACATTCCCCGTCTCTCGTTCCTTTCCCTCTTCACAGATGGTGGTGGGCTTTGCTCTGTGAAGAAGACTGTGGCGTCACTCTTCAGAGCTATGAGCCAGAGAGCCGAAAACAGCAGGCTTATGGGTTATGAGTAGAACGGATTCGGTCATGACAATTAAAAGAGAAGAAGCAAACCCTCAAACTTCAACCTCTTTAAAATAAGATTAAGGAAACACAAAACTGTCCTATCTTGTTCTGTAAAATACTCGAACGCCTTGTTTTACAAAAATGACCAGAGAATTCTTCCACGTGTCCTTCTGTGCTTAGACCGTTTTTACAAACCTAGGCACGGGAGGCAGTGCTGCATGTCGGCTGGGTTTTTTTTTCATACACCCGAGCACGGATAAACTAACGCAAAATTGTATTTTCTTACCTAGTGGAAATCTGAAATGACTGCAAATTCCTAGTGAGTGTACAGGTTTGCTTTCGTGTCCCCCTTCTGGATTGCTTTAGAAGTGACGTGTTCTTTCCTAGCCCGCGTTTCATCTGTACAAAAGAACATCTGCACCGGTTTTTCTCCTCTCCCTCAGAAGAGCCAAACTTTGAGTTTTATGTCTGTTTGTCATTGATAAATTTCAATAAATCTTTTTATACAATTTTTTTGGGGATGGCTTCTTTGAGTCCAGCAGGCCATTGATCTTTCTAAGATGCATTCCAGATAACCTGCTAGCTGATGCAGGGAAGCGTTAGCATTGGTTACCTGATTAAAATAGCTTCTTTACAGAGTATGCAACCTGGTGCCAAGTTTGGAGGCTTGGGGTTCTCAAAGCCAGGCTCAGTGGTGTGCGGTCTTCATTAAAAGCTTCGTCTTCAGAGTAAAAACCCAAAAGATGTAAAGCTAGAAAAAGAGTTCCTCGAACACCGAGACAGTCACCCAAAAGTGAGGCCAACTTTGGGACCTTATTTTGAGTTCTCTTTCGTGGTTCTGTTGGAAAGAATACTCACCTGAAGCCCCCAGGGATGGATAAAACAAATTTGTTCCTTCTTTCCTTAACCACCGTTAACGGTAATTTCTCTAACCTCTGAAGAGTTCAAAAGCATGGATCTTAAATGGCTATGTAGTAGTCCATTAACTATTCTGACCCGCTTGATTCTCAGTCTAACCACATGGTTAGAGGTTTGAGTTGTTTCTCACTTCCCCCTGCAGCGGTTCTGTTCTACTTTTTGTGGATTTCTCCGCACAGAGCCTTAGAAGCAGGGTCGTTGAACCAAAAGTTGGACATTTCTAAGGCTCCCGTGCAAGGTTCTGTGTTTTCCAGGAGGATCACGCCATGGTAGAATACTGTGGTAGTTAATGCGTATGCACGTTATGTTCATTCTCTGCCTTACGTCTTTGAACCCTGAGTTCTAGCAAGGCCTGGTTCTGCGTGGTTCCAGCAGAATGAGGTGCTTCTTGGGGAGAGACTGACCCACCCTGTCTCTGGGCGGTGCCCAGACACCTGCTGTCCTCTTCTTTGGCAAAGACATCCTCCAGCCCCAGGTGGAAGGCGGGGAAGATGACCTCCCAGAGGCCAGGGCCCATGCCAAGCAACGGGGTGGTGAAGATCAACTGGTGGGCGTGCTCTGTGCCTCCCGGAGCCGGCCAAAGAACATGGGGAGGGGGTGAAGTTGACAGCGTCTCCGACCTGGCCCTGGGTGTTCTGACCCTGACTGCCTCCTTGGGGGCTTTAGAGACCAGCTGACTCATGTAGATAATGGACATACATGCTATAAAATGTAAGGTGAAATGCATAGTGAGGACTGGGTTAGTGTTGATGGGATTAAGGGAAGAGCAGACTATCTGTAGCAATCATACCAAGTATTTACATCAACCCTTAAGGAAAGGTCTTGCCGTGCCCATTTTACAGATGAGGAAAACTGAGGTCAAGTGATGTGGAGCTAAGAAGAGGTGGAGCCAGGATGAAACCCAGGTCTGTTTGAACTATTTCCATTTCACTGAAGTTAGTCAAGAATGACAAGGAGGAAGAGGAAGTTCAGCCCAAGGGGCGGGTGGGGGGTGGGGAGGCGCTAAAAGCCTATTTATCGAACTCGCTGTGTGCCAGGTACCACACGCTGTATGTGCGTCCTCTCCATCTTACCGAATCCTCACAGCTGCCTTAGGTAAGTGCCGTTATCCCTGTTCTACAGGCGGTTTAGTGACTGGCCCAAGGTCATGCAGGCAGGAAGGAGCAGCGCCAGTAATAAACCAGGGGTGTGTGGTTCCAGAGCCAGCCCTCTTCCCTTCCACCAGAATCCCTGCAGCCACCTCCTCCTTGCCCGTCACGGTGCCCCCAGGACAGAGGTTTCCCCGCTGAGTGCCAGCAAATGCACAGGATGGACCCTTGAGAGGGAAGGGCCCTTAGAAATCACCCAGTCCTCAACCATCCCATTTGACCAAAAAGGAGACCAAAATCAGGGAGGGTGAGTGATGTGCCCAAGGTCATGCAGCAAGGCGGTGGGAGAGCCCGGCGTGGAAGGCAGGACCCCCTTCCCTGGGCTGCTTCTCAGACATCCGCAGCTGCACTGTGGTTGCGGGGAGCCCAGCTGCTGTGGGCTTCCAGAAGTGGAAGATACACAGTGTAGTGCCTTACAGGAAGAACACCGCTAAGCCCTGGGCGGGCAGGACGGAGCGAGTGATGTGGAGCTCCGCTGGGGGCTCCATTGGCTTTGGAGTGTGTCCTGTGTTTTTAAATGTTCCCCATAGTGTCTGACATTGGTCATCCCTGGAATCGGTGTGTGTTTCCCGACGCAGAACCAGTGCCTGGAAAGAGCGTAATGATGATGCTTCTAGATTAGGAGCTACTCTGTGTCATGCGCTTTATATCCATGGCCTCCCTTAATCCTCGTACAGATTTCACTGACGAAATCAAAGTTCAAAGAGAAGACAACTAGCCTGGCTAGTAAGTGGCGGTTAAGCCTCAAGCCTCCGTCCTGACGCTGGAAGACTCGTTCTTATCCACTGTGTTAAAAGGGCCAGGCGGCTGAGGGAAGGGGGCGGTGAGCAATTCCGTTTTTCTCGTTTGCTGACTTGCAAAGGCTGTTTTTATCCTTGTTCAGAAACTCATTGTTCATGGTTGGAAGGATTCCCACAGTGGGTCCCTAATAAGCAGCTTTGCACAATGGTGGCCCTGAGTCCCTGGACCAGCCCTTAGACAGGCCCCTGTGGCAGGCTGGGCCCAGGGGTGAGTGAGCAGGACCGAGGAGAGGCGGTTGGACGCAGGAGGGCAGGTCAGGCCGAATCAGGCAGGCCATGCGCACGCCAGCAGGGGAGAGACGAGAAAGAGTCCAACCTGATGGCCGACTGTGACTCAAGAAGCCGATGCAGGGGACATCCGTGGAGTTGGTCTGACAACAACACTACAGGGACCACCAGCAGGACTCGTGTGGATACGGACCTGGAGTTCAGGTAGGGCTACCCGCTCTGGTTCCGGGGATGACCCAGTCCTGGCCAATCAGTGTATTCTGAACTTAGACCATGTTGAGTGGTACAGGGAAGAGCCTGGAACCCAAACTGGTTAAATGAGGCTGGGCCCCTGGAATTTGGAAAATGAGCAACTTCCTGTTGGGGGGCTGGTTGGGGCTGGGAGGTCGGAGGCCCGGGAGTTGTGGAGGCACATCCCTTGGACAGAGCCTCTGGATCATTCTGCGTCAGCCTGGGAGAGTCCAGACGACTATGAGGGAGTGAAGACACGCAACATATATTTAGAACTTGTTGTCTGCTGGACGTCGTACGTTATTTTGCTTGTTTCCCATCAGGTAGTTGTTATTACCCCCATTTCCAAGATTGAGCACATTCAAGTGCTCCATAAATACTAGCCGCTTAGTGGCAGACAACAATAAATGCCTTAAAGAAATCAACCTGATGTTTCCCAAATTTCCCTGATAAGAATCCCTGGGGCTTGTCAGCGGTCCAGACCTCACCCCCTGGAAATTCTGGTTCAGTAGCTCTGGATGGAGGCCGGGAATCTGTGTGTTAACAAGTACCCAGAGGATTCTCATCCCTGGGGACTCAGTACCCACGGTGGCCTCCTGAAGAAGGTATGGCCATGCTCATTTAAAGTTGAGAAAGGGAAGCTCCAGGGAGGTTAAGTAACCCACCCAAGCTAACACAGGCAAGTGACAGAGCTGGGATCGGAACCTGGGTGTCTGTGGCTTTCACACTTGCTGCAGAAAGAGGATGATCCTACCTACTGTGTACCTCATTGGTTGCTAGGCGATGGGAAAGTGGAAAGCAAATCTGTTGTTAATAAGGGAAGAGGAGGGGCGCCTGGTTGGCTCAGTCAGAAGAGCATGCGACCCTTGAGGTTGCGGGTTGTGAGTTCGAGCCCCATGTTGGGTGTAGAGATTACTTTAAAAAATAAATAAATGAACTTTAAGAAGAAAGAGGGTGGGGGGGGGGGTGCCTGGGTGGCTCAGTCAGTTAAGCATCTGACTTCGACTCAGGTCATGATGTCACAGTTCGTGTGTTCGAGCCCCACATCGGGCTCTCTAGTGTCTGCACAGAGCCTGCTTCAGATCCTGTGTCTGTCCCTACCCTCCTCGTTCTTGCTCTCTCTCTCTCTCTCTCTCTCTCAAAAATAAATAAACCATTTAAAAAAAATAATAGATAAAATAATAAAAAAATTTTTAAAGGAGAGAGGAGAGAGAGTGAGAGGCCAGTTTTATGAAAAAAGAGGCCCAAGCAACCCATATATTTTCTATAAGAAGTGGAAAACAAAGTCCTAAAAACCACTTGGTAATTAATAATCTACATGGAAGACTTTTATCCCCCACATTCTTTAAAAATTTACCTACAATAGGGGCGCCTGGGTGGCTCAGTCGGTTAAGTGTCCGACATCAGCTCAGGTCACGATCTCACGGTCTGTGAGTTCGAGCCCCGCGTCGGGCTCCGTGCTGACAGCTCAGAGCTTGGAGCCTGCTTTGGATTCTGGTCTCCCTCTCTCTCTCTGCCCTTCCCCTGCTCATGTTCTGTCTCTCTCTGTCTCAAAAATAAATAAAAACATTAAAAAAAAAATTAAATTTACACAAATAAAATTTACTCTCTGTATCAACAGCCACAGTCAGGATACAGTTCTTGAAAGGTCTTAGTTGTAAACAGAACTGAATTTGTACTCTTGGAGTATCCTAAATCTTGCTGCCCGCCTCCTGAGGTGTTCTGAGTCTTGGCCAGGGCTCAGGGAGTCAGGAGGCCTGGATTCCCATCCTAGCTCTGCTCGGAGACGAACTGGCTGGGTGATTGCAGACACCTTGGCTTTATGACATTACATCTGAAGCCTCAGGCCCCCCAGGCAGGCCTAGGTTGAACAGGAAGTTTGGTAAAGGCAGTCCCTGCCCAAGGGACTTGGCAGTCCCTGCCAAGAGGAAGGGCCCAATGTGGCAGAAACAGCCTTCTCTGCAGAGGCCGGTGCACTTCTGAGGTCTCACCGTGTAGACAGATAGCCGGGTCTATCCACACCCGCAGTTGCCTGGGTCACCCAGCTGACCCAGTACGAAAGGAGAGCTAAAACCGACCCGTCTCGGGGCCCACGGATTCTCACAGCACAATTGCCTTTGAGGTAGGTGGTCTTTCCTCCTCCCAGAAGAAACTGAGGCTCAGAGACATTATGGAGCTTGCTCCGGACCACACAGCCAGGAAGGCACAAGCAGGCGTGAGAACCCATAGCTTCCGGGCCTGAAGGACGGAGGTATTTCCTCAGTTCTCAGTCCTCTGCAGTCTACAACGATCTGCAGCAAAGACTCATCTCCAAGTCTTGGTTTGACTAATTTCACACCTTTTCTCAGGAATTCAGTTCTCAGGCCCAGTACGGTCCTCCCACTCAGCTCTGCGGTTCTCCAGACTCCTAAGTCTGTGATGAAACCAGGCTCTCCATAGTCCCTGGGAGCAGACGTCTGCCACAGAAATGACTTGTACCTCAGGAGCAAGGAGATCTCTACCTCTGGAGAGAGGGAGGACACCGGCTGTCTTGAAGGAGCAACAGCAGTTCCTTCCCATGCTTGAAGACGTCGGAAGAGGCAGCACAGCTGGGGGCACCATCCTGGGCTAGAGCCCAGAGGCCCTGTGACCTGGGACAGGCCACCTCTCCGCGGCGTCTGCATCCCAGAAGCCTCCCGAGGCACGGAGCATGTTTGCATGTTGACAGGAATGACCCCGTAGAGAAGGAGGCGTGCGTGATGTACACGAAATGGGGAGCATCTTGGGGAAAATCAGAGGCAGGGGATCCTCTTTAGGCTTTGGCAGAGGGAGAAAAAAAAAAAACCCCACTTCATCCTTTGTAGCAGGAGAGAAGGGACTGCAAGGCTGTAGATACAGGAAGGTGGGTAGATTTGGTGGAGGGAAGGTGGCAGGGTTCCCGGCTGCTTTTGAAGGAAATAGGAGGCACGGTGGTCAGGGGAGTTTCGGGGCGGAGGGGGCAGATTGGGAGCGAGGGTTTGAAGAGAGACCAGAAGGCGTGAGACAGTTGTGGTTGTTCAGGACGGGGGGACCACCCCTGGGAAGCCTGGGAGGGGCCAGTGCCCATTTACCTGCGACTGGGAACCACAACTTTAAACGGGGGACCAGTCAACATGGCCCAGCTGCTTGAGTATGGGCGTCGGTGGGGCAGAGAGTTGGATTTAACTAGCTGGATGAGGGGCGCCCGGGTGGCCCAGTCCATAAAGCACCCAACTCTTGGTTTCGGCTCAGGTCATGATCTCGGTTTCAGGAGTTCGAGCCCCGCATCGGGGCTTGGGATCCTCTCTCCCCCTCTCTCTGCCCCTCCTCCATTCACCGTCTCTCTCAAAAATAAATAAATAAACTCTGTAAAAAAATTGTTTAACTAGCTGGATGATTCTTTTTTTTTTTTTTTTCAACGTTTATTTATTTTTGGGACAGAGAGAGACAGAGCATGAACGGGCAAGGAGCAGAGAGAGAGGGAGACACAGAATCGGAAACAGGCTCCAGGCTCTGAGCCATCAGCCCAGAGCCCGATGCGGGGCTTGAACTCACGGACCGTGAGATCGTGACCTGGTTGAAGTCGGACGCTTAACCGACTGCGCCACCCAGGCGCCCCTAGCTGGATGATTCTAACGCATAAGGCGTGGGGCAAGGGAGACGGGGTGTCTACGAGATTGTAAGGGCAGACCAGGAATCCCGAGTCGGCTCAGGAGGGAAGTGAGTCATGACTGATGGGGAGAAGGTGCGAGAAGGTGAACTACCAGAGTGGAAGGGCTGTTGGGCCGGGACCACCAAGGCGTGTGAGCTGCTGCGGGAGGAGGCAGCCCTCAGGGACTGGAGCTATCCCACGGGGCGTACTTACTGTCGAGAAGGTCAAGGACAGGGCCGTGGAGGTGGGTGTCCGAGCGGGACGCCAGAGCAGATCTGCACTGGAGGTGAGGAGGCCGCAGAGCCGAGATGTCGAGGCATTGGACGGTTCATCCACAGCATCATTGAAGTTGCTGAGCATGATGACAGGAATCACAACAGGAGAAGAGATGATGGACCACCTCGCCAAAGAGGAGGCAGAAAACAGCAACAGAGAGGCATTCACGGCTTTTTAAAGGAAGAAGAAGGAGACATGGAGGCAGTGATAGGGAACAGGAAAAAGTCTCCGGTTCCAGGCTTCAGGACTGCAGCGGAGGGGGGCCCTCAGGGTAGGACTAGGTTGGAGTTGGGACAAGGGAGGGGGGGGTCCGTCAGCTGCTTACGGATGGACCTCACGCGATTGCAGGTGTGACAAGTGGAAAGGGGGAAGAGTAACCCTTGTTCTCCCTGATACAACTTCCGTGGATCTTCACGTTGGCAGGGGCCGGGGGGGTTGGGGCAGGGAAAAGGATCAGGGCTTTTCGAATCGTGGCGCTTGTGGGCATCCACGGAGGAAGCTCGTGCAATCCGCTTGCCGTCGGACTCTGCGCTTGCTGGTTCCTCTCCACCAGCTGCCGACTCCCTGGGACCCCGCACTCCACACTCCCTGGTTCTAGCCACGCACAGGTCGTGGTCTCTGCCTGTGGGCTCAGGGCCACTCTCCCCTCCGGAGCCGTTCCGGCAAGAGCTCATGAGCGCGCATCCACTGGCCAGATGTCTAAGCCAGATCTTACACGCCGTGGGCCCAGCATCCCAAACTCCGTGGCTGGGATTCCAGCGGTAGGGAGGAAAGCGGGAAACATCACGCCAGCCCAGCCCTTCCGTGTCCTGGCCCCTGGAGGACTATATAACACACACGTTGTCACTCCCATATCATGGCAGCCCCCAGGGCCTCAGCCACTCAGTGCACTCCCCTGCTCTCCGCACATCACATCAGGCCTGCCCTTCCCCAGGCAAAAATGAGCCGCCCTAGCCGGTTAGTCACCAGCAGCGGGGGGCCTCCACTGTTGGGCAGGCTCTGGCCTGGACACCAACTCGTGCTTCCGTCATCCGGTCAAGGGGGCTCC